CCCCTCCGGGCCTCTGCGGTGCGCGGGCCGCGGAGGCGGAGGCGCGCTTCCACTCCACAGGTAGGTGCCCGGCGGCTGGATGCTGCGCCGACGTGACTGCCCCGTAAGGAATGCAAAGAAACACCCCGCGAATGATTCACCCGGGCCTCGAGCGCGGGATCCTGCCCCGAGTGACTTTCCACGTTGACTCAGCAGGCTCACTGAGCACTGACTCGGCGCCCGGTGCGCGGCGGACACCGTCCGGGTCGCTGCGCCCGGTGCCCAGGAGCGCGTAACTTAGGGGGAAGAGCAGCCTTGCGAAGGACCGAATCCGGTCACCTGCGCAATGCAAACCACAGCCGGATGCTGCGAGAGGATGAGGAGGAACGGATTACTTCCGCTTAGTTGCCCAGTAGTTCCTGAAAGTGGGAACATTTAGGCATTAGTTAAACAGCTTGGGCAAAGGAGCCCGGGGTGACAAAGCTTTACCAGCCAATTCATATTAACATTTTTCAAAAGGATTTATTCATTCATGTTATGCGTATGAGTGTTTGGCCTACAAGTATGTGTGCATCACTTGTGTGTCCCCGGGGGTTAGAAGAGTATGTTGGATCCCCTGGAACTGTGAGCTGCCATGTGGGTACTGGGAAACCAAACCCAGGTCCTCTCATAACATCAAAGTGATCCTAACTGCTGAGCTATCTCTTCAGCCCCTCATTATTACCTTTTTCTTTTGGTTTGTTGTTTCTTTGTTTGTCCAAGATAAGGTTTCCCTGTGTAAAAACCTTAACTGTCCTGGGACTCTCTCTGTGGACCAGGCTGGCCTTGAACTCACAGAGATTCACCTGCCTCTGACTCTTAGGTGCTAGGATTAAAGGCGTGAGCCACCACGACTGGCCTCGTGGTACCATTTTTGTATAGAATCCTTTCCAAGCTCTTTAGGAACAACCAAGTCTTTTTTTTCTTCGAGATAGGGTTTCTCTGTAGCTTTGGAGCCTGTCCTGGAACTAGCTCTTGTAGACTAGGCAGCCTCGAACTCAGAGATCTGCCTGCCTCTGCCTCTCGATTGCTGGGATTAAAGGCGTGCGCCACCACCGCCCAGCTAGCCAAGTCTTCTAATGGCTCAAAAGGTCATTTTTCCCCCTCAATATTATCTAAGACAACAGTGTGGTCCCTTGGACTAGTGGTGCGTGTGGCTGTGCATGTGGAAGGGAAGCAGCTCCAGCCTCTGCACTTCGAGGACGCTTTTTGGAGCGTTCTGGCGCCTTCTGGCAAAGCAGAGCGTGCCACCTGCTGCAATCAGACTGACAGCCTGCCTCCAGAACACCCTCTTCCTCCTCTTCCCACACAGCGAGGCAGTGCTGATAAAGCTTTAAGTGGGGTGGTTTTTTCTTTTTCTTTTTTGAGGGCAGGGAATACATCACTTTTCACACAAGAATCGTGTGACTATTTTGCATGTTGGAGGAGACTCACTTGTTGCTGAGTAGGGACTGCTCTAACCGTGTTAAAATACTCAGGCTATAGATAAGAGATGGTGAGTTTCTTCTCTTACCATTCATTGAGCGCCTTCTACGGGGAAAGACTCTGAAAGGGTAGAAACATTGACTCCATTCGCGGAAAGAGGTAGAGCATGTAACTTGAAACTGTAGAAGCCCAGCGTGGTGTCTCAAACACCTGTATTCCTAGCTCTCAGGAGACTGAGGCAGAAGGATCACTCTGAGTGGGAGGCCATGCTGAACTACAAAGTGAGTTCCTGGCCAACCTGGGCTGCAGAATGAGCCATTGCCAAAAATAAAAATAAATAAGCAATCAGACGTTGCCTGGCACTTTGTTTCAAGTTTGAGCTGCACTTTCCCAGAAACTCGCTTGTTTACACCTTCTTGTCCTTGAGATTCCATCTCCTCGCATCCTCACCCAACTTTTCAAGCGTATCATTTTCCTCTCATATATTTTCCCTCTCATATTTCAAGATTATCAATGTCTCACTCCCATTGATCTTTTCCTACATTATCTATGGTGTTTAAGCCTTTCTTGTCCTAAGAAGGAAAATTCTGCTCCAGCTCCTGCCCCCTCTGTATTCTCTTTCATAAACATCTTAAAAACTGCACCACACACACCTCCCTCTTTAGCAGCCTGTCCACCCATGGCTGTGACTCCACCGCATTGACGACTGGTTTCAACTTAAATGCCACCATGCATTTTTGAGCCCTCATGTTGCTAGAACCTTCAGTGGCATTTGCTAGCACAAGTGTTATTCTCTTTTCCATTCCCTCAGCTTTATGACAAGCCTACACCTAACAGACTGCTATCACCCATCTGATTCTGTTCATCCCCCACGGCACACATATTCCCTCAAGCCCTCGTATCCACCATTTGTCCTCATTTTCTCGCATATCAATGGTTCCTAAATGAATTCTAACTTCTAAAAGTACAAGCAAAGACCTGGCGGTGGTGGTGCACTCCTTTAATCCCAGCACTAGGAAGGCAGGTAGGTAGATCTCTGTGAGTTCAAGGTCAGCCTGGTCTACAGAGTGAGTTCCAGGACAACCAAAACTGTTACACAGAGAAACTGTCTCAAAAAACAAAACAAAAATACAAACAAAAATGTTTCTTACTTGAAGCTTTTCTTTATGGGGTACTTTATCATGGAAACGGTTAACCAGAACAGTTGGCATCAAACTTCTAAGAGGAACACACAAATCCAGGCAAGCCTGATGCAGCATTTTGTAGAAATGAATGGAAAGAAAATGTAAGCAAGGGGTTTTATAGACTATCCACCCATGTGGTTTGTCAAACATCAGCACTAGTAAGAAAGTAGTAAACAAGATGAAGGTGCTGGCAGATCTGGTTGCAGTTAGTCCGCTCTGGCTTGTAGGTGCCCATGGCCACCTAGTGGTTCCCCTCCTGCGTGTCTGAGTCCAGGCTGCTCTTGTGAATAGACTAGACACGTCTGATAGAGGGCACCACCAATAGCCTCATTTTAGGTGAAGCATCCTTTTAAAGACCCTGTCTCCAAATACAGTCACACTCGGAGGTGCTGGGGGCTGGGATTTCAACAACCTAAATGTAAGAGCTGAAACTATAAACTTCTGGGATGAAGATGTGGGTGTCGTCTCAGCACCTTGGGCCTGGTAAAGCCTTCTGGGAGACAGCACTCAAAACACAAGCAATGTCCCAATTCAGTTCTCCAGGGCTGTGATTTTTATCTGACCTAAAACAACTGGGGGGGAGAAGGTTAATTGTATCTGCCACTTCTAGGTAGCACCCCATCACTGAGGGATTTCAGGGCAGGAGCAGGAAGCAAGAACCTGGAGACCATGGAAGAATGCTGCTTACTGGCTTGCTCTCCATAGCCTGCTCAGCCTGATTTCTTAGACAACATAGGACCACCCGCCCAAGGATGGCACCATCCACAGTACCCTCAGCCCTCCCATATTAATCTCTACTATTTCCTAGAAATTTGCCTTCAGGTCAATCTGAAGGAAGCATTCTCAGGTGAGGTTTCTCTTCCCAGATGAGTCTAACTTGTGTCTAGTTGACAAAAAAAAAAAAACAACAAAAACAAAAAACCCTAACCAACACACTGGACTACACAGTACCCTGGCATCATATACAACATATGTGTATTGAAATATACACAGTCATTTTTAAATATGTACACTTATTCCATTAACTGAAGTTTTGAAAATATTTTAAGGAGATACAAGTCTTAGCTCTCCTGATTTCTTTCCTTTACCCACAGTATATGCATATGCCAAATTATCCCATGGCACCCCATAAATGCATACAACTGTACTGATTTTTTGTGATGTACGTTCAGGTCTGTAAGCAGCTACACATGTATGTTCTGTTGCTTGTGCAGCAGGTAGACCGAGGCCAGAGGCCAACCTCAGGAGCTAGCCATCTTGGGTTTTTGTTTTTTAAGACAAGTTCCCTCACCGGCCTAGGACTTGCTGAGTAGGCTAGGCTGGCCCAACAGCAAACCCCAGGATGCACCCATCTCCACAGCTCCAAAGCACAGCACCCACATACTCAGCTTCATACTTGTGAGCTGGAGATCAAACTCAGCCCCCGTGCTTCACTGGCAACTTTAATAACTTTGAAGGACTTTTGTATAGTGTAAACTTTGTGTGGGTTAGTTTGCTGTGGTTGTTGACTGGTTTATTTTGAGACAGTGTTTCTCTTTGTAGCTCTATCTAGCCTTGAACTCCTGAGCCTGGAGCTTCCACCTCCTCAGGGTTGGGACCACAAATGTGAACCACCTTGCCAGCTAAGCATGACGATCATAAGGTCTATTATTCACAACAAAGCATGTGTGCTTTATGACTCTGAGTAGAAGACTGAACAAACATAAACCAAAATATTAGCAAAGGCTATCTCTGGGTGATAAGATCAGGAGTTTTAAATTTTCTTTCTATTTATTTATACTTTCAAAATTGTCTTAAAGGAGGAGATACTTTTTTGAAAGTAGTGGAAATACTTTTAAATATCTATGCCAGAATCCCAGCATGGGGCCCCACACCTGTCATCTCAGCCACCAAGAGTTAGGGAGGAGAG